ATTTTGGAGCACCTGAGACCCCATCCTGAGAAGGTTCCTGCTCCCCACCCCCCCACCTCGCCACTGTGAGACTTTGGTCTGAAACTATGATCTAAAACACTCGGACAATAGCAGTCCACTGCATCGCCCTTGGCAAACTGCATCACACTTGGCAGAGCATAGAGACCCCTAGCATGATGGCTCAAGCTTGGAAGTGGATGGGCTGCACCTGGGTTAATGATAAAAATGTTATTTGTTTATGTCCTACACATGATTTAGGCCAATACTTAGATTCATGTCTAGATTATAATTGAAATTGTTAAGACTGTAACTGGTATTGTCAAGATTATAATTGACATTGTTTTCATAAGTGTTTTAGCTTAACTTGATTCCAGTAACCATGTATTCCCCCTGATCCTAGCAACCACGTATTCCCTCCTGATTTTGTGGCTTTTGCCTTTATGAACCCTGTTGCTTTGGGCTTCACGGTCAAGAGTTCTCTAGGCCATGAGCCTGCTCTCCACTGCTGGCAATAAAAGACCATCAAATTTTATCAGTGTGTGGTGCTCCTCTGTTTGCACTCACTCAGGTGCAACAATATAAAGAAATCCATACAAGATATAGATAAAAAATTTTCCTGAGAGATTGAGATGTTGAAGAAAAATCAATCTGAAATATTAGAAATGAAGAATTGAATATGTCATGTAGAAAATACAGTGGAAAGTCTCCACAGCATATTTGGTGAAGCAGGATAAAGAATATACAAGCTACATGACAAATCCTTGGAAATATCTCAGTCACTCACACACATACACACACACAAAGAAAAAATTAGAAAAACTGAAAATAGTATTCAGAATTTGTGGGATACTACCAAATGACCAAACATGCATGTCTTAGGAATTCCTGAAGGCATGGAAAAAGAGAATGGATTAGAAGGCCTATTCAGTGTAATAATAACAAAATATTCCTAATTTGGAGAAAGAAACAGACATCCAAGTACAGGAAGTATATAGAACTCCTAATATACACGATCAGAAAAAATCTTCAACATGACACATTATAATAAAACTTTCAACAGAAAACCAAAAAGAAACTATTCTAAAAATGTATATGAGAGAAATGCCAGATTAACTTCAGAGTATGCCCAATGAAACTAACAGCTGAATTCTCATCAGAAACCCTGCAGGGTAGGAGAATGGAGAGACACAGTCCAAATTCTCAAAGAAACTGTCACCCCATAATATTGTACACAGGAAAACTCTCATTTATAAATGAAGGTGAAATAAGGACCTTTTGAAACAAACAGATTTTAAAAGAATTTGCAGCACAGGTCCAGATTTGCAAATGAATCTTAAGGGTGTACTACACAGACAGTGAAAGACAGCATCATGAAAGAATGTGAAGGCAGAAAATCTAGTAAGAGTACAAAGGAAATCCAAAACAAATAATATGTATGGAAAAAGGGCAGGACCAAGTCATTCTGTATTAAGAATAACTTTGAATGTAAATGGCTTACACTCTCCAATTAAAAGATACAGCCTACCTGAATGGATGACAAAATAATACCCATCTACTTGCTGCCTACAAGAAACACACCTCACAAAGATACAAACAGACTGAATGAGAAAGGATAGAAGAAGATATTCTATGCTAACAGAAAGAAAAATGAGCAGATGTGACCATCCTAATATCAAATGAAATACATTTTAACACAAAAACTGTTAAAAAAAAAAAAGACAAAGAAGGGCATTACATAATGATTAAGGGATCATTCAACAGGAAAATATACTTAATGTATATGGACCTAATATCAGGGTGCCTGGCTATTTAAAACAGATGTTGATAGATCTAAAGGGAGACAGAGACTCCAATGCAATAGTAATAGGTGCTTTATCAAATCTATATACAAACGTATATGAGTAAGAATGGGAGACGAAATAAGGGCTCAACATTCAAACGTCAAGTAATGGAAACTATGAAATGATATCTATTAACAACAGAATCAACGCTCCTTTCATCAAATGACAGATTAACTAGACAGTGGAGGTTTAGCTAATTATGCCACAGCAATGGCCCTATAGATTTTTTTAAATGGAACTCTTTAATAAAAAATAATATCTGAAACTAAGGAATAATGACTGCTGGCAAGGATGAGGGAGAAAAGGTACTGTAATATTCTGTATATACAGTTGGTGGGGCCAGTGCTATGGAGTAGTGGGTTAAGCCACTGTCTGCAGCTCTGGCATCACATATGGGCTCCTGTTTGAATGCCAGCTGCTCCACTTTTGATCCAGGTCCCTGCCAATGCACCTGGTAAAGCAGTGAAAGATGGCCCAAGTCATTGGGCCTCTTCACCCATGTGGGAGACTGGGGAGAAGCTTCTGCCTCTTGGCTTTGGATAGGCTAACCCCAGTCATGGTTGTTGTGGCCATTTGGGGGAGTGAACCAGCAGATGGAAGATCTCTATTTTCTCTGTAACTCTTTCAAGTTAAATAAATCTTTAAAAAAATACACTGTCAATGGGAATGTAAACTAGTACAGCCATTCAGAAATCTGAATATAGACCTACCATATAACTCATTTTATGCAAATAAAATGAAATTGGTATATGAAAAAGGTATCTGTACCGCCATGTTTACTGCAACTCAATTATCAATAGCAAAGATACAGAATTAACCCAGATGTCCATCAGCCTATGCCTGGATAAAGAAAATTTAGTATATATACAGTATGGAATACTAGTTAGCCATAAAGAAGGATTGAAATACTGTCTTTTGCAATAAAATTGATGTAATTGGAAACCATCATACTTAGTGAAATAAGCCAGTCACCAAAACTCAAATATCACATGTTTTCCCCTGATCTGTGGTAACTAATAGAGTGCCAAAAATGTAATGTATCAGTGTAAAATTGACATTTTGATAATTGATACTTTACAGCCCTTGTCTCTTCTGTTGAGGAATATGTTTCTTCTTACTATTTGTTGAATTATTTACTCAGTGGAGGGTTAAGCTTGTGATTCTAAAATAAATTTAAAGTATGTCACTGTAAAAAATTAAAGAATAAGAAAGGAAGGAGAGGTGAGGGTAGAGCGTGGGAGGGAAGAGAGAGTGGGAAGTATCACTATGCCCCCAAATCTGTATATATGAAGTACATGAAATTTGTTCACCTTATATAAATAGCTTAACAAAACTGAGTTAGTGATCATTACCATTCTCATTACGACCAACATTACCTTCTATTGATATCATATCTATGTATCTATCCATCTGTCTAATCATCTACTTACCTATAATTGTCATCTTCCCTAACGATCTTGATTCTTGACACCTCAGCCTTATACAGTTTATTGATAAAATGGGGAGACTTGTCTCAGCAAAGTGGTTTTGACATGTTTCTTCCTGATTAAGCAACAACCGCTTATTTTCTCTGTACACACTGTGTGATGAAAACTAACCTTGACATTGTGTTTACAAATGCTGGGACCCAGCCGGTGCCGCAGCTCATTAGGCTAATCCTCTACCTGCAGTGCCAGCACTCTGGGTTCTAGTCCCGGTTGAGGCGCCAGCTCTGTCCTGGTTGCTCCTCTTCCAGTCCAGCTCTCTGCTGTGGCCCGGGAAGGCAGTGGAGGATGCTTGGGCCCTGCACCTGCATGAGACCAGGAGGAAGCACCTGGCTCCTGGCTTCGGATCGTCACAGTGCGCTGGCCATAGCGGCCATTTTGGGGGTGAACCAACGGAAAGAAGACCTTTCACTCTGTCTCTCTAACTCTGCCTGTCAAAAAGAAAAAAAAAAAAAAAGAATCTAAACATGGGAAGCTGGAAACACAGCAGGCTCATAGAATGGCAGATGTTCTAAACAGCACTCTGACCTCAGCATCAGCCCTTAAGGCATTTGGATCTAGCTGAAGAACCCATGAGAGTATTTTAGGCATGGAAAGCCAAGAATACTCTGGCAAAAAAAAAAAAAATGACCTAAATGAAAGATCTCTGCGGGTGAGATCCCAGCAGAAAGAACAGGTCATCAAAGAAGGAGGTACCTTTCTCTGAAGGAAGGAGAGAACTTCTACTTTGACTATGACCTTGTCTAAATAAGATCAAAGTCAGCGAACTCAAAAGGCTTCCATAGCCTTGGAAACTCATGACAAAAGCCTAGGAAGATTACTGAAGCCATAAATAAGAGTGTCAAATTGTTAAGTCAACAACAGGAGTCACTATGCATTTACTCCCCATGTAGGATCTCTGTCCTTAATGTGTTGTCTAATGTGAATTAATGCTATAACTAGTACTCAAAGAGTACTTTACACTTTGTGTTTCTGTGTGGGAGCAAACTGTTGAAATCTTTACTTAATGTATGCTAAACTGATCTTCTGTATATAAAGAGAATTGAAAATGAATCTTGATGTGAATGGAATGGGAGAGGGAGCGGGAAATGGGAGGGTTGCGGGTGGGAGGGAAGTTATGGAGGGGGGGAAGCCACTGTAATCCAAAAGCTGTACTTTGGAAATTTATATTTATTAAAATATAATATGCATTTTCTATGAACATTATGAAGACCCCTCATACATATGAATATGGATGGACTTAAAAATTTTTGTTCCAAATATACTTCTTTTGGGGCTGGCACTGTGGCGCAGTGGGTTAAAGCCCTGGCCTGAAGCTCTGGCATCCCATGTGGGCACCAGTTCTAGTTTTGGCCACTCCTCTTCCAATCCAGCTCTCTGCTATGGCTTGGGAAAGCAGTAGAAGATGGCCCAAGTCCTTGGGCCTCTGCATGCGTGTGGGAGACCTGGAATAAGCTCCTGGCTCCTGGCTCTGGATCGGCACAGCTCTGGCTGTTACTGCCATATGGGGAGTGAACCAGTGGATGGAAGAACTCTCTTTCTCCACCTCTCTCTCTAACTCTTTCAAATAAATAAAATAAATCTTTTAAAAAAATAAGCCTCTTTTAATTCCATTTTCCTTGAATGAGACCCTGTATTTATAAACTTTTCATTAGTTCTACCTACTTAATCTGGTATTGAAAGCTTGTTTCTTGGAAAACAAAACTATTTTACTTGGTCTCTTTGTTATGCCTTCCTTAGGACTTTCATTTTGCTCTCTGTTATTGAAGGCAAAGCTCACTCTGGTCTACACTTCATATTTGATCGTTTTTCACCATTCAGAAGCCTAAAGCTGAAGTTTTATGGTAAGTAGAAGGCTGCCAACTGAAGTATTTTGAGCTGCAGAGAAAACATGTTGTAAATTAAGAATGAAACGGTCCATGTACATGATTTCCTCAAATAGAATATAATCACTTTCATAACTACTTAAGACATAAATTTAAAGATTAGAAATTTATATTTTCAAAAATGCTTCATTCAAAACACCCCAACTGAGATTTATATTAAATGCCATTACAATATCTTTGTTTATTTAACTTCCACATTTGTATGATGCATCCCATCAATCAATCACAACTCCTCCAAATGCCTTAGCCCTTGTAAGAAAGTATGCACTTGAGTCTTAAGCCAAGCTTGAACACTAAGGCAAGATAACATGCCACTGAACCTGGCAACGTGTCAGAAGAATCAGAGAATGATGTATTGGAGGGCCACATGTTCAACAGACTATGGGTCAAGGGTGCAGTATGAACAGGGCAGAGTGGAAGTATCCATCATTTATTAATGGTCATCTCTGTTCCATACCTCACAACATGAACTACAGGGACCAGGCCAGGTGTATAACTTGAAATGTCACAACTTAGCCTTTTGTTCCTTTATTGGCCACTGGAAAAGATGAAAATATAGAAACCATGTAAATAAGATAAGGAGATTAGGCTCTTCTTTCTGCTTAGAAGCCTATGTATAGAATAAACAACTGAATACTAGATAGTTAAAAAAAAATTCAGTGAGCCCAGAGATAACTAAATATTGGTTTAAAAAAAAAAAACTGTGGTGCCTATTGCACTGTGTTTAGGACTTCGGAGTGATTTGTGTCTCTATTTTCAAATAGCATTGCGGGGGGTAGATACGACTTCTGGGTACCTGCAGAAGGCCTTGTTAAAATGTACAGTACCGGCTGGTGCCATGGCTCACTTTGCTAATCCTCCACCTGAGGCGTCGGTACTCTGGGTTCTAGTCCTGGTTGGGGCACCAGTTCTGTCCAGCTCCTCTTCCAGTCCAGCTCTCTGCTGTGGCCCGGGAAGGCAGTGCAGGATGACCCAAGTGCTTGGGCCCTGCACCCGCATGGGAGACCAGGAGGAAGCACCCGGCTCTTGGCTTCGGATTGGCGCAGCATGCTGGCCGTAGCAGCCATTTGAGGGGTGAACCAACGGAAGGAAGACCTTTTTCTCTGCCTCTCTGTCTCACTGTCTAACTCTACCTGTTAAAAAAAAAAAAAAAAAGGACAGCAACAAGATCAAAGTCTTGAGCCCTGAGTCAGTATTTTCAGAAGTTTTACCTGAAATATTTCCAATCAGCAATATGAAAGTTAAATTTGCTGCCAATGAGAAATAATCTCTGATTTTAAAATCAAATAGTATAGCATTTAAATTTCACTCTAATAATTGTACATGTTTATAAGTTGCAGTATGACAACTCAATACATGTCTACCTTGTGTACTGATCAAAACAGGGTAATCAACATTTCATATTCTTTGATGTTACTTTATCACAGGAGGTTTGGAGTTTCTTCCTTTTATTTGTTCATCATAACAGAATGATTACTCGAAGTGATAGGCTGCTTACTCATTCATTATGAGATAATAAACAAATATAATAGATATGTATTGGTATACTTGCATCTACTGCATTTACTACTATTACAATCTAGCCAACTGAAACTTAATGTGCATTCGCTATGTGGTAAGCATATTCTGGGCACAGAAGGAAAACATCAGTATATAATCACTGTCAGTGCTTGGAGAGTCCAAAGTCTAGCAAAGTTAAAGTTGTAGCCATAAAACAGCTAGTATTTACTGACACTTGATGGATGTCTGCCTTTTTACTTATTAACCCTTTTTTGTCTTAAGATAACTTAATTCCCATTTTTCAGTTGGATAAAAAGAACAAAGAGATTATGTAAAATGTCCAGTGCTACAAAACTTGTCATTCATAGGGTCAGGCTTTAAACCTGGGGATTTTGACTTCATTGACTATGTTTTTATTTCTTGCCATCTTGCCTATGAGAATTATGTGAATTGATAAAGCTGTAGACAGAATGTGATGAAGATACTTCATTGAACAGTGACAGTGGAACAAAATTTGACAAATGAGTAGCAGTTTACCAGGTGCACTATAATCTTAATAATATAACAGATAAATACATTCTTTCCAATTGATGCACTCAATGAATAATTGATTAATGGAGTTAATTTTAGAAAGCATTGAACTAGGTAGTCTAAAAGCTCTAAATTAGTGATGACTCTTGGTTTTAAGAGGGAAAATTTCAGCGCAAAATATATTTTGAAAAAGGGGATTTATGAGGTCATATGCAAGTTTCTATCTTGATGCTTCAAAGATATAACAGAAACAATGCCTCTCTGTGTTTTCAGTCTAATGAAGTTATTTTTTCCATATCTGGTGCAAAACACAGACAACCATAACTTAACCATTTTCTGGGACTAAAATAACTTCTACAGAAAGAGCACTATGACAGAGACATTTTCAGCACCTTGTTCTTTCTCCTGGGTTCACAGGAAGACTCCTTGTCTAGACTTTTGCCCACACTGTTGGAACCATGATTGAGCTCTAGTCAATCAGTTGTGGGAGGAAATGATCTATGTCACAATCAAACCAGGCTTATAAAAATATTTTTCTTTGTGTCTTGCAGCATCTTCATGCTTGGGTGCAGCAACCTTGAAGGTCATGTTTCTTAAAGTTTACCCTTCAAACAGGAAAAGTGTGACTCTACCCAAAAAGGACTTTTTGTGGCCTATAAATATATCTTTATTTTGTTAAGCTACTGAGATACCAGGGTTTATTTATTGCTGCAGTATATCCTAGCCTGTATTGATTTAACTACTTGACTAATAAAGTCACAGAGATAACTCAGTGGACTTGCATGTCTTGCCAATCGATCCCTTAATTAAGTATTATGCCTAACAATTTTGAAAAATTTGATTGTACAAACTCCACTTGGAACCACCCAAAAGTAAACCAAAAGAAATTTTGGAGGATTCATAACACAGAGAAATGATGGAAAAGAACAGCGTTTTCTATATAACCTGTATCCATTGCACCTGTAGTTATCTCATTGTAACTGACATACTAAACATGGCTTCCAATTTCCTAGGTCACAAATAATCTTTCCCTGCATTCTTTCAATAGATCTGAAAAGACAATCTTTCTAATAATAAGTCTGTGGCCTATTTCTATGACGTAAACCATTCAACCTTTTTTTTCTGGCTGTAATTTTCTTCTTACTAGCATCATATTTCATATCTCAGAGTTAATACTGCTCAATTCAGTCATCTTATTCAAATATAGAAAGGCTTTATGTACATTTCTCATTTTTACTAAAATTGTCATCAGACTTTGTTTTTATTAAATATTAATACATTTGTCTTCAGTAAAAATTAAATTTCTTTCCTTGCAAATCCCATGAAAGCAGAAAGTTAAATTGAAGGGATTTTGACTGGTATTGTTTTTTGAGGAAACCTCATCTATGTTAGTCCTATTCTGGGGCCAATTTTTATTGCAGAACATATCTTTGCATTTACAAAGTAGGCAGGGAATGTCAGAATTAAAGTGCACAGAAAAGTGTGGTGCTTCTTTGTACTGTGGGTTGCATAGTACTACTAAAGAGACCCACAAAATCATGGTTTTTGTCACCTTATATTTCATACTTATTAGGAAAAATCTGCTTTTGCCATTTGCAACAAGCTTAAAGGTAAGCCCCCTGCCATAGTCTGGGCTACACCTCTCTTTTGAACTCTATTATGTTTCTTCATTCTCCAAAATTGTGTTTGGACTCTAGAATGGCACTGTGCTGAGTGCTCCAAAGATTTTCAAGTATGAAGAGTCATGGACAACAAGACTTGCATGTCTAATTGTCCAGGGCAGTAACATAGGTAATAATTTGCAGGAATTTAGAACAAAAAGAAAAGAATTGGGATAATTCTTTAAGCAACTTCAACTTAAAAAGGGAACTTAAAATTACATGGATCATGGGTTGTTCAAAGCTGACAGAATTAAAAGATAGTTTCTTTTACTTGAAGCATGCAAGGCTAAACTTGGAAACCAGATGGCAGGGTTTATTTCAAAAGATGCTAGCATTATATGAATGATTGGTATTATTATTATTATTGAATTAGTCAAAAATGTATTATTAGTGTTCCAATGCCAAGATTCTCTGTGACATATTATCCAACATGCATTAAACATAAATAATGTCAAACACTATAATAAGCTTTCTACATGCCTAAGCACATTTGTTGTTCACAAAAAGTCTTTGAGGTAGGAACTGCTATTGTTTTCATATGTGTACATGTATGTATGTACATATGCATATAATGTATTCATAAATTTTCAAACCTATAGGAATGAAAAATAATCATTCCTCTATTCATTAACAGCTCCATTTCTCTCCCTAATCATACTTTCTGTTGCCCAAACAATTCTCGAGTGCACTCATACTAACACTTCTCAAGTGTACCTCAATAGCAAGAATACTGTAAGATCCATCTGTTGGTATCAAGGATAGTCTCTTAATAAACCACAATACAAGACTTATATGAACAGATTGATGTTAATTCGACTACACTTGTAGCTTATAATGTTCTGCCCACTTTCCAGTTCCAATTATTTGAAAAATAATTATGACTTTTAACTGTAGTGTCCAGTAAACATCTATATATTTACTTCAGCTGTTGTATTATGTTAGCCTTCTGAATCTAGACTAGACCACTCTTCACTTTATATTTTTCATGGTACCGAATCTGTTGATGATAAGAGTTCATTTATCCTATAAAAGTTCCCATGTTATTTGCTGACAATTTCATAATTATGATAGTTCAGTGAAATGCAGTACATGCACATGGTAGAAGTACTATAACACCTATTTGAGAAGGCCATAAATATTCTGCAAGAGTTCGATGCTCAAAATGCATCTCAGTAGGCAAATTTTCTGATGCCCTCACTAGTACAAATATAGTTCTTCCCTGCCCTCTCCTCTGACACTCCAAAACCTGGGATTTTTTGAGCATAC